AATGTGTTAGCGCACATATAGAGAGTGTAGTCTCTAAAGTGTAAAGAAATTACTTAAGTAACCGAGTAATAGGTTAGTGTGAAAAAATTGGCAGTCATGAGTTGAAAATACTAAGAACTTATTTTTGATAAGCGGTATTAGTCGGTTATACGCAGTAATCTGTGCAGTAACGTATAAAATAATTATTTTATTGATATTAATTATAAACCGTTATAGTTGTGTTATTTTGTGGAGAGCCCCAGAACATAAAGTAAAAGACGAACTTTTTCGGCAAAAAAGACATTTAACAAAACTTAATGACTGTCATGTTTCCATAACCACTTACATGGTTATCGATCCATGCCCATGGTGCATTGCCTAATCACAATATCCGATATTAACCGGGTATATGATATTAATCTTAAGACATTTTCTTCACGTTATGAAATATTGCAATACTGTTTTTTATGCCCTTAGTATGTGTAGTTAATTTCTTGACTGCATTTGAGGATGGTCCTGAGCCTAACTCATATACAGTAAAGTAAACATACGAATAAAATATACATATACCTATATAGTTATTATCAGCATACGAAATATACTAAATAGTGGTTTACAATATATTTATATATATTATAAAAATCAATAATTAATTTATTATATAAATTCATATTTTTTCCAAATAAACACATTTTCATTGAAATATAAAAAATATTTAATTTCAAATGGAAATACTTCAAACTATTATTTACACATTATTTAGTTTTAAAATTTAAATATTTAAATATGATTTTATTATTTTAGATATTTTTTATATTTCGTTTTTTTGTTTATATTTTTCACACTTGAGTTTTATTTTTATAATTTTTTACCATATTTTATTTATATAAGAATGGCTTTATATAATACCAAAGCTGAAACAAAAATTCAAAGTAAATGTCGTACATACTATCCGAACTTTCATGATAAACCATTGTCTGAAAAATTTTACTCTCGCCATGAAAATATAATAAATATCGGAAGAAATGTATCAAATAAAACGAGAGGAATTAGTTATTTCCTATCTGAAGAACAAAAAAAACAAGCTCCAAGAACATTTAATCAAACCTATGGTTGGTTTGCGAATTTAAAAAATTTCGAATATGAGGTGAAATCTCTGATAAACGTTAAAAGTCCTTTACAGGAAAAAGCTGATTATTATGGAATAAAAATAGATGAACAACGTGCTATAGAACCACGAACAAGATACTATGCTCCTGTAACTGAAAACCAATGTTATGGTTGGATTCAAAATTATACGTGTTTGGATATAAATAAACCAATCTTGTGGCATGGAGTAAAACTTGATAAATATTTGAAGAATGTTTTGCAAATTACGGATAAAGGCAACAAAAGAACATTGCTAAACCGCTAAATTCATAGTACTGAGATATACAGAAAAAATATTTTGTTTAAAAATACAAAATGGAATATAGCTATTTTTACAAAAAAAAATTTTTTTTTAATAATTACATTGCGGATATTTGACTAAAGTATTTAAATATGAAGCCAATGATACAAAAGTGTTAAATTCTTGTTGAATACTTCAGGAAAGAGAGCTATTTTTATCTTCTTTTTTTGGTGTAATCTAATGTACCGACAAACAATCATGTTGGACTTCCTTACTCAATAAGAACTTAAGTACGTAGCCAGTACAATTTGATGTTCGAATCCACCAAATACAACGTACCTGTGTAATATTTGTTATTAATGCATCATGACTATTTAATAAGTTAACAATTTTTTTTCAAATGATCGAAATTATCTAAAGGTACATCTTCCTAAACAAAGAAATTTCTTGCTAGGGTCTGTTTACAACTATCTTTCAGTCCTTACGATTTCTAACATTTCTCAAATCTCAAATCTAAGGCCATCACTATTCTTTTTCCATCTGGATTCACAAATAAAAATCTGTATCTGTATAAATAATTTATCATCATACTTGATTAACCAATGTGTTTCATGAGACTTCATTTAAGTTGCCGATCAAATACCTATACATACAACTAGAAGCTCAGGATTTATTTTTATTCTACACCATATAGTCAGGAATTTATGTATTATTATAATATAATTATATAGTTATATGGTCAGGAAATTTTATTTTTTTTTAGAATTGATTTGCATAAGTTCACAAAGTATTCTGAATCAATTATAGCGATTAATCTGAAATCTAATAAACTGAAAACAAGTTTTTCTACTAACCGAAAGACAAGCCGATCGAAAGTGGTTCTTGGTCTGAAGAAGGTTTTGAACCATTGATATAGACAAACAGTCAGGCTTATAAATTTTTCACGCTGATAAGGTATATAGATCCTTATCCTTACATTATAATAATTTTACAATTGTGTAAATAATCACAAATTAATATGACATATGAAATATGATATGCTACGAAATACAATGTATGTGTGCGTAAGATATTTTTCTTAAACAACTGAGCACTGACTGCTTGATTAAACTACTTTGAAGCAAAATAGTTGCGCCACTTTACCGATAGAGTATTGCTCATCGTTTCACAATTTTATGAAGAATATAATAAAAAATACAATTTTTATAATATTTTCGACAAATATGCTTACATGTAACATACATGTGCTTATAGTCTGTTATAGAGATTTCTAGGTTTATAAAATATATTTTATTTTCAAAAGAATTTTTATGTGTATATTTAAGTATGACATATTTTCTATTAATTATGTTTAGTCAATTGTATTTTATTTGCTAAGTTTTTAATGTTGATTTATATTTCATATAAGATGATGAATTGAACTTGGACACTTGAACTTGTATTGCTAAATTGTAACCTTTGCGTTTCGCTGTATCAATGATTATCAATGTTATCACATTAGAAAATACCTTAACCCAGCATCTTAACAAAATACTCACTTATAAAGTTTTAAAGCCTATCTCCACCTTTAAGCTATTGAACTGCAGTACAAAATAGGAGATTTCTATAGCGGAGACATAATGGCAACACAGCACTTCCGTTTGACAGCCTTTTTTAAAGTCACAACGTAAGCAGAATGTAACAAAGCAAAATGTTAGACTGATAAATTACAACCAAAAAGAATATGAAAAATTCTTACAAAGAATATAACGAAAAAAATTCCTCAACTGATGTTGAGTGAAAAGAAATATTAAAAAAGTATGTAAATGTATATAGAAAAGTGACACAAATGACACTGAGTAAAGAAACTAGAAGAAAAAAATGAATGGCTTTTAAAAGAGTTCAGCACGAGTACATACGCTGACATTATACAAAGTATGACAGTTGTCTGTTTGTACAATATAACAACTGAAACAATGTTACCGGGTATCTAGTAGATACTATCTGCATACAATGTTGCAGCAGCAACTAACAAGAAGACAGATACTCTCGTATCTATGATAGCAGAAGTCTGCATGTGCTTATTATACTCAAGTATGTGTGCAAACAGAACGTAGTTATTTGCATACATAGAAATGAGATGCTATAAATAAATACACAAATATACAGATACACAGATACACATCTGTGTATGGTGAGGAGCATACACTTCCGTTAATCAAGCGGAAAGTGAAAACAAAAACTTTTATCAACTAACCAACTAAACAACTGAATAGCAAACAACTAAACAAACAAACAGACAAACCAACAAACTAACAATATAACAATGCGTCTGACTGACTTATTAAGTGAAAGAAAGTCTGTCTGTTTACGGTTACATACACGTACTTGTATCTTTAGTACTTTCATGTTCGGAAATTAAAGTATGTTGGCATGTGATTACACTTGTGTTATTTCTAGGATGTAATTCAAGTCAAGTGTAGACTTTGAAGTATCCTTTTTCGTAAAAATGTGGTTGAGTTTATTGCAATGCAAAATTATAAGATGCAACAATTGCCGCAAAAGTGCATTTATAGGTGTCACCAAGTGAAGGATATGAACTTTATGCAGTTCCACTTTGTCTGTTTGTAAACAATTAAATTTATTGAATATTTTGAAGAAGGTGGTCAAGTGTAAATACGGATAAATATTAATTAATTTACTAAATAATATTCCAATTAATCATATAAAAGTTATTAGGAGAATTAAATTGCTAAAAATTAAAACGTTCCATTACATACATCTTGTAATGTAGAATACTTTATCAAATATATTTGTAGATTATTATGAATATGATAAACACTTATTTTGGTTTAAATGAAATTTGTTATTCAATCTGAATATGATAAGAAATATACTAATTAATTAATGTGTTTTATTCAATTGTTCCAATATACAATACTAGTCTTGATTGGTAATATAAATGGCTGTAATTGAATAGAAAATTTGTTCAATTAATTAATGCTGCTGATAATTTGACTTCAGTAAAAATAACGAATTTTGATTTAAATAATATTTTTTTTGTTCAGTTCATTAATATCAGATTTGGGTTTAATAATGTATGTCTATTCAGTATGTAGTCACTTTATCGCTATGTATATTCCTTGATGCACTACACTAAACACTTTTGTACTATTATAGTAAATAAAAATTAATATTACACATAAAAAACTATTAACTCAATACATCTTTTCAATCATGTGTAAAGTGTTTAAAATTATTATTTGTAATTTTTTTAAACAGCAGAAATAATTTAAACATCATTATAAATGCCAGTATGAATAAACAACACGTAACAGGAATAAATTTCTTTTCACTCCAACATATTTTGCTTTCTCACTAAATAACAACTGTTCTATTTCCCATGACTCTTTATTATACAATAAATATTTAGCTACAGATACATAAATGAAAAACAGCAAAAATTCTCATAATTTTTATACTTAACTTATTTTACTTTATTCTGTAATCGTAATCTGACATTTTTCATGTAAAAGTCGAACTAATAAGATATTTGAATAAAAGTCCCTATAATCCTTTTTAAAAGATTACCAAATTGACACCTTTGTCACGGTTTAAAAGGCTTAATGTGATGTGGAGCATTACATTGATCAATAATTCTACATAAGTGAATGATTACTTGGAAAGCCAATTTCTGTTTCGAGAAATGCATGTAATTGAAATTAAGTTCGTATCCTTATTTTACATATTTGTACTAAATTTAAGTAATATTGTATGTTCCTAAAATTAGCATAATTATATTACTAGTTTGGTTTTAATTATTAAAATTTCTTTAGTTACCCTTGAAGATTCTTATTTCCATAGATTTTTTTGTTTTTATAAATTATCTAATTTATATAAATTAATTTACGGTATCTAGTAAAAAAAGTAAAGTGCATCTTAAGAATAAGAAAGAACAGGGTATTAGCTCCCATTTGAGCAGAGCACCGCGACCATGATTGATCTTTTGTGCTACAACAGACCCTAACTGAACAAAAGACATTCCGCCTTTCGAATGAAGGCCAGAATGTCGGTTGTTGAGGACATCCTAATGTCGGAAGGTGCTAGTAGTTCCCGACCCAGTGATCTCCTCCTGGTCCAGATCAAAGCTGGGCAGTCACATAGAATGTGGCTGGTTGTCTCATCTGCCTCCAAGCAGAGTCTACAATCTATCTCTTCGGATAGGCCCATTTTGTAAAAAAAGTGCATCTTAGTAAATTTTAAATTTTATATTTTATATTTTATTTTGTATTTAATACGACAAAAATCCTTTAATATTATCTAACGTTATCAATAATAATTTTTAAATATATTCGCCATTATTCTGCATAGAAAGAGGAACAACCGTGCGTATGAGTTACAATATTGTTTATAAAACAAATTTAAAAAGAAAGAAAGGTAAGAAAGGCAAAGAGTAGTTGTATTTAAATTTTTTTAACAAATTCATACATAAATAAATCAAACACTTTTTGACTGCTTACAAGTGTTTGATAAATAAGGAGTTAGCTTAGTACCTTATTTTAACCCGGAGTTGGGTGGCAGCTAAGTAGTTGCTTTAATAAAATCTAAGGACTTTGCAGATCTATAGTGGTTTAGGACATATATGTTGAATATCAGGTAGCTAAAAATCGAACTCTGCATTCATTTATAATAATAATTTCAGAGTTCTAAATGGAGTTTTTAAATGGGAAGAATCACTTATTTAAGGTCACCCTGATTGTATAATCGCACAAGATTTATATTCAACATTAGTTATCCATTATCATTAACAAACATTATCATAAGAATATAAATATTCTGTAGCTATATAATTGAACTGAGTTTCGCATGACTGAAACACCTGACAGGGTTATCTCATATATATAGTGTACATAGTTTACATAGTATACATAGCTTTGAAAAACACAGAAAAGAAATCGAACCATGAAGGCTTAACATTCTTTCTCAGTAAACTTTTGTCAGTGTTTTTTACAAAGATTTTTTTCTTAACATTCACTTATCTGACGATTGGTGTAACAAAAAATTATTATTGAAGGGAATA